TCACTCAAAATGGAGAATCGCTTCAATTAATAGAGAAGTAGGGCTGGAAGGGACCTCAAAAGGGTATGCAGTCCAACCCCCTGCCTGGGGCAGGAAAGGTCTTGGGTCCCATAGGGAGATCAAACCTGCAGCCTTGAGGTCATCAGCCCCATGCTCCAACTAACTGATCTACTTGGCCTCTCTGCTTATGTCAGAAGTTATGGTCCCCTTTACGGGAGTTTCCTCTGGAGTTTTATTCCTTACCCTTAACAGTTATATGCAGCTGTTGCTCCAGATCGACAGCCACCCCAGAAGCAGCTGCATTTTGTGTGCCTGGACAATGACATGCTTCATTCTCTATAGCACCTACGATCCTCACAAACAGCAAGACAAGGTTCCTTGGGTGAATTTGGTATCTTTTATTAGACCAACCCAAATGGTTGGAGAATAGTTATTAAGCAAGCTTTCGGGTTCAAAAACCCTTTGTCAGGCTAAGGAAGCTTCAGCAGTTGGTGTGTGCTCTTCCTGGATGGAAATAAAATATATCAAATTCCCCCAAGGAACCTTGTCTGCCTATGTCCTTAGACCAACACGGCTATGACCCAAAACCCTCACAAACAGCAATGCATTTAGGGAGGGAAGTGCCAGTATCCCATCTGAGTCACTGAGAGGTTAAGACGCATGTCTAAGACCCAGCAGAAAGCCCATGGGAGGAGCAGGGGTAGGAACTGCAGCCCAGATCCTGAGTCACCATCCAACACCTTGATATGTTCATCTTTGCTCCTGATGGGGGAGAGTGGTGGGGAGCAGCTATAGGCTTTTAAGTCACTTTGCAACGATCTGTCCCTCTATATTAGAAAAGATGAATAGATTTAGTGAGAAGGGACAGCAGCAGGCTGAATGGAGGTGTTCAGCCGGGAGAGTTGAACTCGGTGCAGCCTAAAGCAGCCACGTGGATGGCACAGAGCATCACTTCAGGAGGCTGACAAGTGCGGTGGATGCAAGGGAACAGATGGAATATAAATAATCTGGCAGGCTGTAGCAGGACGGGGACCAGGAGGTTATTAGAGCACAGCAGACCTTGCAACCGCAGGCCGAGCAATCAGCACTTGGAGGGACTGGGGACAGTCTCGATTCTGAGTTGAACCTGCACGAGAGCAGGCAGCCGCGGAGTAAAAACTCCTTTAGTTTTCTATATGTCCACTCCCTCCAGTGCAGGATCATCCTGTGCAGGTTTCTTCCTCTTAGCTTTGTCGAGCCTGCTTTAAGCATCTCAAGAAGAGCTGGTCAGAAAACATGATCAGATAACTGTGAACAATTCTGGTGCCATTTGGGCCCTTTTTGTGTCAGAGTTTTGAAGGACAATGTCCTCCAAATGTAAAAAAATCTACCAATCACTATGGAAAATTCCTAGCCTAGAGTTTTTCATCTAGATTTTAAATTTCAGATCAAAATACTACTGAATTTTTTTATGCTTTTGAGCAGCTCTCATTTCAAGGGGTGAGACTGCCCTAGGGAAAATCTTCTCTTTTTAATTATTCTTTAGTAAAAATCCATCCCATTACTCTCAGCATCAATTATTACTGTTGCTGATTACGGTGCCCTTACTCAGCCACCCTGGAAACATCCCGTCTACTTTATTTAAGGATCTCTCTACCTCCTAAAATAGAAACAGAAAAGCCCTTGTACATTAAAGGCACATTGCGCTAGGTGCTGCACAAACAGGGAGGATGTCCAATCTGAGTTTAACAGGACAGGTTTAGGAGAATTCATGCCAGTTAAAAGGCATGGCCCAAGGATTTTGCATGCTGGAGAATTCATCATATCCCTAGACTAAATTCCCCATTCTTGCTGTGAAAAAGTGACCCTTGCTTCTAGTGTGAATTTGACTACTGTCAGCCTCTAGATGCCGGCTCGCACTATTCCTGGGCTCCAGATTAAAGGGCTCTCTGCCGTCGGAAGTCATCTCTCCTGGTAGGTTCGTACAAGCCATTTTTAGGCTGAAGCTAGCAGTAGATACAAACAAGTATTCCTACGGGAAATGCCCCGTGATTTCTAGTTACAAAGGGGTGCAATGGCATCCTAGAAAAAAATCATACTCCCAAGGATATTTTTGGGCCTCTGCTCAATACAACTGAATATACCGCCTACCAATATGTTAGAACAAGGTTGAAAAAGCCCCTCTCTCCTTTCCATAAGCGATGGGAATTAAAAAAAAAAAAAAAAAAAAAAATGCAAAATGCCTAAGCGACTGAGGGGCATAAATTTTGCCAAAAAGTGCTTGTTCCTAAGGTTAAGTCTCCTACTTGCAGAAGTGACTGCAGCGTACTGAAAACACAACACAAACTGGCTACGGTATCAGTAGCAGCCTAGCAGGAGCACCACAGACCTCAGCGTGGTTTCACCACTTGACTCTGTTTCAGGAGTGTTTTTCTGCCCGTGCCAAACTCCATGAGGCTAAAGCTACCCTGCTAGCAGGACCCACGCTGGCTTCTTTCAGGCTAGACCCAGGTCATTTCTACACAACATCACTTAGAGTGCTGTGAAGATCTAAGGAACCTAAGCTTTTCAGGAAAATTGATGCTCCTAACTCACTTAGGCACCCTGGAGACATCTCATCTGCTTTAAGGAGCAATATGATGTTCGTGAAATAGAAACAAAAGATAAATAAAAATATTACAAAGGGTGTTATAATGTCTTTTCTCTAAGCCTGTTCAGGAGGTGCAGCTCATATAGTATTATGGGTAGCAGTAAAATGACAGGGAAAGTCATTTTTTGGCCCCCACCCCAGCATTTTTACAAAGCCTGCCTAGTGTAACCGCAAAAAAATTCTGTAAGATGTTGCACAGGAAAAGGTAGCACTTAGCAGCTTCTTGGTACCCGAGAAGCAGCAGGGATACAATTCTAGAGACAAGAGGTCTCCTCCGGCTCTGCTGCTAGTCCTTATGGCAGCCTTGGACAAGACACTTCAGCTGAGCCTCAGTTTCTCCATCCGTAAAATAGGCACAAAGTTTCCTCCTCTGTAAAGTGCGTTGAGATTCAAATAGGAAATTCCCGTTGGTGCAGCACAGCCTAGTAGGCGCACACACTCTCAGGCCATATGGCTTAGCAACCAGATCAGCGATTCTCAACCTGGTTGCCTTTGCAAACCAAAGCCCTGCTGCTTTGCACTGCAGTTGAAATAAATGAGCCTAGAGGAGAACCACTTGTGCAACACCCCCCATCCAACCTCACCCCAAAGCCAGAATCCGGGGTGCAGATTACAAGGCATTGACCTGAACCATCTGTCTTCCTTGGTCTGTGGTCCTACAGTAATGCTCATCTCAGTGCATTCATTCAGCTTTGCATTGCTCGCTTCTCCTAGCAGATGTGCATTGTAGCGGCTCATCTATTCATTGATCGAGCCCCGATGCCCTATATAGGCCTTCTAGTCAAATGCAGACCTGAATTTAGTGTCCTACTTGTAGCGACTGGCACACAAGAGTGGGATGTAGCTACCATTTGCATCCAAGTGCTTCTGAATCCCAAGCCCAAGTAACAAGCTTCCCATTTACAGCTGGGTTGGCTAGGGTCAGCCTTTGAGATGAATCCAGAGCAGGGCTTGAACTTTCCATCAGTGCTATAGCAAGACACCGGAAGTGCTCTACCTCCATTGCATCCCAACACCTTCATGCCATCATGAAAATAACTGAGCATAAGCTTTACATACTGACAAGTGACAGTAATAGTAAGTTGAGCTTTGTCAGAAATAGTCTAGTCTTCTTTTATGTAGAACACGAACAGGAAAAGAAATGAAATAAAAGAAAAAAAGAGGGCTGGGAGGGACCTCGGGAGGTCAGTTAGTCCAGTCTCCTGCTCCTGGCAGGAATATAAGTACCACCTCTGTGTTCTAACAATAGTTTGTGCATCAAGGTAAGGAAAGTTTTTTCTGCTTCGTGGAAAGAAATGATGGATACATGAAATAAGAAGCCAGTTGCCATCATAATAAGGGACCACTGGAATTCACCTGTGTATAAAGAGCCAACACAAGACCTACACACCACTTATGCCTGCTGATATTTTCACATTAGACAGAGTAAATAGGTACTCTGCAATGCACTGACTTCTTCTTAGGCCTCTGCCTAGTTGAAGTACTAATCCGTTGGATTTCAACACCCTCAATTCTAGCCAAGAAGTTGCCAGCACCTGTTTTCAAAAGGCAAATTACATCCAGCCACATTAGAAGACAATGTAGTGAAAGGACCATATGTGGTATAGAGGACCGCGTACAAGACTAGGACTCCATTTCCCCAGCAGCCCTTCCTTGCACCCGTCTATGGCTCATGACTGAGAACAAACAGCCCTGCAACCAAAGATCAAGGTGAGACATTCAAACCCAACCGAAGTAAAATACTTCAGCCACACTATATCGAATTAGACTGTGGCATTCACCAATTCCTGAAGTGGCTAAGAATTTAAGAAGCGGGTCAAAAATCAACTACACATTAATATGGAAATCAAGACAATGCAGAATGTATATAATTGTAGGCAAGAAAAATTTTGGAAGGCATATTAAACCTTATGCTTCAGGGCAGGAGCCAGGCTGTAATTAGCAGAGGACAGGATGAGAAGCCAAGCGAAAGATAAATTACCCCACTTTTATCTACTAGAGGAGTTTTCTTTCCAAAATTTAGTACAGGTTACTCTCAGAAGTAGGATTGCACCTTGAGTTTCATCCAGTATCACTAATCCTTCATTCAGAAATCCCACTGAAGCCTTCTTTTGAGGACATGGGTGAAATAGGTGGGGCTTTATACAGAGGACTTATTATAAGGGCCTTTAAAAATGCAAGATATACCCAGTTCTACCCTCTCCCAAAAACTTCATATGACTATGGGCAGATATCTCACTTGTGACCCACTGGAGCAGGACATAACAGAGCATTGCCCAGACAATGTAAATGCATGATGCAAAATCGTTCCATTTACTTGTACATTGTAAGCTCTTGAATTAAAAAGAAAAAAAAAAAACGCATCTCTTACCTTGAACACTTCCATTGGAAGAGGACATTTTGCTGCATCATTAAGGGATTTTTCCCGAGCGCATTTCCACTCAGATATAGTCTTCAGAGAATAGATTTCTAAAGCAACAATACAACGACAGTCACGTAACAATTTAAGGATCAAGCACTCTTGTAACGTGTTCATCTCACTATGCTCTAGGAAATTGTATAGTCTATTTAAACCAAACAATGCATGTTAAACCACGCTGTACAGTACTATTAAAACCAACACAAAAGAGAAACTAATAGAAAGCAAGAGTTGAGAAATGTACTTCATATCTTCATGTCTTTTTTTTTTCTTGAAAAACATAGGGGGGGGGTTTTGGTTTGGTTTTGAAAACCAGATCCTTTTGGGCTTTCAATCGTCAAAACCTGATTTTTGGAGCTTTTGGCTTTTCAACTGAATTGAAAATATTTTGATAAATCCAGAAGTTCTCTCATTAACTTTCCCGTTTCGCTGAAAAGATGCTTTTGTCCAAAACACCAAAAAAAAAATTGCGTTTAACTTTTGGCGCAAGTACATTTGTCAGTATTAGAATCCAAGTTACAATGCCAAGTCAAAAGCAAGCGGTTATGAATGCTGATCAGACTGAAGTACACTTTTATGACTATCTTCATAGGGGATTCACGTTGCTTTTAGTGAATATCCTTAAATAGATTTAATGTCGTTAGTCATATTAGCAAATCCTTTTGTGATTCATTGCAGTAAAATGCCTATAAATCATCTACTGTAGAAAACAATACAATGAGGAAGAACTTTATATTGGATTTATTTCTGCCCTACATAACATATTGTTACTCAGAGCAAGTTACTGCAGAACATTCATACCGAGGTCTTAAAGCTAAGAGATAAGATAGATTGCAACAATTATTAAAATGGAAATGAACATTTAGCCAATAACAGGCAGAAATCCAGATACAGAATAAACAGGATCTAATTCTATTGACATCAATGCGGTTGCATCCATTTACCCCTATGGTGTATTTGGCCCAATTTGCATTTGAAATTCCATACTTTTAAAAAAAAAAAAAAAAAAAAAAAGAAAAAACACCAGCGTGCATTTGCTCGCTGCCAAAGATTTACTGCTGCATCTTACAATTCTGAGGGAGAAGAGGAAAAAAAAATAAGGAATTGGCAAGCGCTGCCGTCACCTAGCACTGCTGCTACAAGAGAATTTTATGCTCTGATCTCAACAGATTTAAGACCTTATCAAAATAGGATTTGCAGAATCACTCAGTGGAAGTGGAAGTATTTATACATCCACTATATCAAACTATGCTACTTCAGGCAGACATCAAGGATATGCATATGAATTTAAGCACCCTTAAACGGAAATGTTAACCTTTCAGGGCTGTATTTTTAATTCCTTGCCTGTCTGGTTTTTAATGTGATCTTGAGCCCCCATTTACAGGGCAAATTTGAGTCATGGTCTTTAGCATCAAGTAGACCTTTTACTGAAGTGGTCATTATTTTATGCACCTGTTACCATGTTCACCCTAGTGTTTCTGGAATCGCTGCTCCTGCTTGAAGGCATGAATGAAAATCACCCACACCTACTTCCTGGCCTGAATGCTGTCACTGTAGCTAAGGGGAAAATTCACAGGAGTACAATTCATTCCCCTAGGGACAGGGTATTGCTTGGTGAAGAGGGACACTGGCCATGTCTACACGCTCATTAATGTGCCGTAATTACGGCGCATTAAAATTTAGTACCTGTAATGACAGATACTAACATAATGAACCATAAATCGGCGCTACCTTGCAATAGCGCACTTGAATGCTTTTTGTGCGACATTAATGCACATTAGACTAAATCTACTGCGCATTAGCGCAGCCTTTGCCCACTGTGCTAATGGGTGGTAGAATTACTCTTCTGTGCATTAAGCGTCTCGCACAGATGCACCCAATGTGACTCGGATACAAGAGGGTGTCCCCTGGCTATGAGAGAGAAGGGCACTGCAGCTGCCTGGGACCTGGTGCACCATATTTCCCTGGCTGGATGGTGTGCTGCGGGGGAATAGGACCAAGGCTCGCTCAACTCCCTGCCCTACACCACCCATTCTGATGTAAATATGGCTGGAAGATGTAGCAAGCTGCAGCCTTGATCCTGCAGCAGCCAAGGGGAGCTCCAGGCTGCCCTGGTGCCAGCCCCAGGCTGGCTGAGGGCAGGGGGAGCCAGGCCTGGGCTCCAGGGAGCAGGAGGGAACTGTTCCAGAGTGGGGGACAGGTCCCAGCCGCGTGGAGCTCAGGATCACCAGCACTGGTTTGGAGCGATGCCGTGTGGCCAAGTGATAGCAGCACCCTGAGCTCTCCCCTCGCTTTGCTTGCTGAGGGGACGGGGGAGCTCTCTGTCCCTGGTCCTGGCACTGTTCAGCTCCTGGCTCTCCCCAGAAGCATCTCCCCCCAGTCCTGGTGCTGCTTACCCTCTGCCCCCATGCATCTTCCCCTGGGCCTGGTGCTGCTCAGCTCCCAACACCCCCCGGACACGAGTGGGGAGCGGGAGTCAACCGAAGCATGGGCTGAGCAGGCAGCAGCAGGGCTAAGGAGATGGAGCAATTCTCTGTCCCCAGCCCAGTGCTGCAGGGACAAAGAGCTCCCCCATCCTGGCACTGCTCCTGGGGGGAGCTGAACAATGCTGGGACAAGGGACAGAGCGCTCCCTGTCCCCTCAGCAAGCCAAGCAAAGGGCGAGCTCAGGGCACTGCTGACAGGCAGCCAGGGGCACATAAATATTAATTTTTTTAAATTTTAGTTGCCCCGCAGGCCAGATAGAATGGCCTGGCGGGCCGCATTCAGTCCACAGGCCGCATTTTGCTCACCCCTGCTCTAACATGAACTAACAGAGAGGCTAGAGATCTCTTCTTCAGATGGGACATGCGACTCTGAGGGTATCACCAAACCTGGCCCCATCTCAGCCATCCCCCATTATTCTTTCCCAGACATCTGTTTTCATTTCTTTTGCTCAGCTTCAAGCTAAGATGAACCTTCCTTTCTCTCCTCAGACTGATCTCCCAAATGCAGCTGTCAGCAGGGTTCCCTAGCCGGTTCTGCATCCCATGGCCTTGTGGATGGAGGATTTCCTGCTTATAAGGATTGGCCCTCATAATACAGCTGCCTCCAAGAGCTGAGTATCTCCTTTACTGGGCTCAAAA